CTGACAATTTTTTTATCATCAGTAAGATTCAATCGAAAGCGATAATCTTTAATTAGCTCGCGCTCGCTTAAAGTGCTCTTGCTAAATTCATGAGACATACTTGAATATAGATGCGATTGTTTCATTCGTGATTGTTCGTTTCACGTCTACGAAAATTAATAATTATGCTTGCATCTCCATGTATGACAGAGTCTGTATCATTTTCAGCATTCGTAATGTGGAAAATGTAATACGTTATCCATTCCGCGAATCTGATCTAACGTACATACATGTGTGTGATCCGTCATTCATCCATTCTTCGCGTGGCTGGCCATTTCTACGCACGTTTACATATATGCTTAGTTTTCCTGATTTGAGTATATATATATATATATATATATATACTATATATATATACACCATAATTATATCTACTAATAATATTTTGATTTTCCGCTATTCTGTACTATATATATATATATATATATATAGTACAGAATAGCGGAAAATCAAAATATTATTAGTAGATATAATTATGGCAGTAAGTACCTATTTTTTATATTGGTCATTAAATACATTGAGAAATCTTGCAGATATTTCCATGGGATAACATAAGATTACCTGCCTTCGCACATCCTACTAGATACAATATTACCATGCATCCAAATCTTACCACCTTAGAATTTAGAGGTAAGCTTAAAAATTTTTGCGTTTAAAATATAAAAAAAATATATGCTTTTGTTTGTATGTAATAAATTTCTTCTTTATTCTTCAATTTGTAGGCCGCGTCACAATTGAATTTTACGTTGATGAAGAGACCAAATTTATCGTCTTCCATAGTAAAAACTTGACAATAAAGGAACAAGTAAGTAACATATATGAGAGTTGCAATCACGCGTGCAGGTTTTACGTGCCAATGTTTGTCTTTCTTTAATTTTCGAGAGTTGACTTTCAGATAGTCAAAGACGGTCACGAAGAGATAAAAATTGCGAAATTACTCGAGTATCCTAAGCGCGAGCAGTTATATCTGGAATTGGAGGACAAATCGTTTCAAAAAAGGAACAATTACACGCTATTTCTGAGTTTTAATGCGACATTGAATTCTACTGAACTTAAAGGCTTCTATTTCAGCAGTTACACCACACCTGAAGGAGATTACAGGTAGCTACGAAATTAAAATTATTCAACAAATTGCTTTATTGTTGCTAGTAAGACTTTAAGGGCTTTTAAATTTTGTTCTTCAATTTTTAGATATTTGGCCACAACTCGTTTCGAACCAACATACGCGCGCATGGCCTTTCCATGTTTCGATGAACCACAATTCAAAGCTAAATTTAAGATATCAATATATAGAGATAGATTTCATATTGCGTTATGTAATATGCCTGCCATAAATACCGAAGAGGCTGGATTTTACTTGGGCACAAATCTCGTAAGTTACATTTAATATTTTTGTTAGTTATTCAATTCGATGTGAAAGCTTCGCGATTGGCATATCTCAAAGGTATCACTAACTTGTCCACTGTGTGTTATGCCGATCGTAAGAACGACAAGTTCAGATCATGTTATTGCAACTACGATATTACCTGCGAGTGACTGCATTTGCAACCTGAGCCAGAATAATGTTACTTTTCAGCTACGCGACGATTTCCAAGAGTCCGTAGACATGTCGACGTACTTGGTGGCTTTTGTGGTATGCGATTTCAAAAGAGTTTTCGAACTAACAAAGAGAAATACATCCGTAAGTGTGTATGCCGCGTCGCATATGCTTCCGCATATGAACTATGCCATGAAAACTGCTGCTCGTATTATGGATTACTTTGAATCTTTCTTCGGCATACCTTACCCTTTGCCAAAGCAAGGTACGCTCCTCAAATAAAGCATGAATAAAAAACATACTGACAAAAACATTGTTAACATTTAATATTATTAATATATAATAACAATAATATAAGTAATGTAATATGTATAATATTTCATAAGACATTTTTCTGCGATTGTAGATATGGTAGCAATTCCCGATTTTGAGCCCATTGCTATGGAAAATTGGGGCCTAATTACTATTCGAGAATCGTTTTTAATGTTTGACCCGCAAGAAACACCTACCAAAATAGAAGAGTATATAGCCGTTATTATGGCTCACGAATTGGCTCATCAATGGTTCGGCAATCTCGTCACAATGAAATGGTGGAATGATCTGTGGCTGAATGAAGGTGCCGCGACGTTCTTTGAATACAAAGGCGTGAATCACATCTTCCCCGAATGGGGCATGATGGACTTGTTCATATTACACAAGACGCAACGAGCGCTCGAGCTCGACGCGCTAGCCAACAGTCACCCCGTAAGCGTGCTCGTTGAAAACCCCATCGAGATAGAGAGCATATTCGATACAGTTAGCTATTACAAAGGCGCTTCCGTCCTCTATATGTTGGAAGTAGTTTTATGCGAGAGTGTTTTTAAACGCGGACTAAACGATTATCTAAATATACACGCGTACGGAAATACGGAGACCAATGATCTGTGGGAGGTTTTCACAAAACATTCCAAGAATACATCCATTAGTACGGAGCTTGATGTGAAGGTAAGTGCGATATGCGAGAGTAATTATATTTCGCGCGTTCTCGCTGCACGTATGTAATAAAATTTAAACGCGTGTCGGCAGACTATAATGAACACTTGGATCCAACAAATGGGCTTCCCACTTGTTACTATCATCCGTGAAGACAGTGTTATCACGGCGACCCAAAAAAGATTCCTTATTTCGCCGCGAGAAGATGGAGTAAACATTTCACAACCCAAATCACCCTTCGACTACAAGTGGTACATTCCGTTGAATTGTTACACAGATCAGGATGACTGGACGATGCTGGAGGATCCTATGGAAGTGTGGATGAATATGACCAACGGTGAACAATTATATTAAAATTTATCTGCTCAGTACAAAACATATGTTTTTGCCATATGCCTTTCCTGCAAATCGTGACTAAGAAATTAAGACAAGTATTTTATTTTTCATCATAGCGACTTTTGATATATCAAGCGATGTCGATTATATCAAATGCAACATCAACCAGACGGGTTTCTATCGAGTAAATTATCCGATGGAGATGTGGATTTCGATTATCAAAACTTTGATGAAGAATCACACTAAGTTCAGCCCGGCAGATCGGGCGAGTCTGATCGACGATGCGTTTTCGCTTTGCGATGCAGGCGAGGTGAATGCCTCGATTCCACTGCAACTTTCGCTTTACCTCGTCAACGAGCGAGACTACGCGCCATGGGCGACCGCGCTTCGGTATTTGAACTTTTGGAAAGACAGACTGGCCGAGAGTGCAGGATATAAGAAATACATCTTATTCTTTAAACAACTGATGGGTCCGATTACAAAACACATTGGCTGGACAGATGAAGGATCTCATTTGAAGAAGTATAATATAGCAATTAGAATATCTCGTTTATGCTTCGTTAGATATCCAGTGGCTAACAACGAACAGAATATTAATTCAAATTTTGTTGTCTTTTAATGCAGATTATTGAGAATCGCAGTACTGAAATCCGCTATCGAATTAGAAATGGATGATGTAGTGAAATCTGCAAGAAATCTTTTTCAAGACTGGATGTCGAAAGGCAAACGCATCGCACCCAATGTACGGAATATCGTTTATATGGCAGGTAATGAATGGATATATTCTTTATATAAAATGTTTGTATATAAATATACTGATTATATAATGCCAATATTATTAGAGAAATGCAAAGTAAAATATTTTGTACAATATGTTTGTAGGCATCAAATTCGGAGACGAGGCTGACTGGCAACATTGCTGGCAGGTTTATCTTAGAACGCAATTTCAGAGCGAGAAACTATTAATGTTGCAAGCCCTAGGTGCGACGATGGATCCTTGGTTACTTAAACGTTATCTTCGGCTTTCGCTAAATCGGAATTTGCTTAAGGCGCAAGAAGTTAATACCGTCATAGCAGCCGTTGCTGCCAATCCGCATGGACATTATCTCGCTTGGCGTCACATTAAAGCCTACTGGGCGCAAATAGAAGCTTTATATATGAACGAATCGCTCTCGATAAACAATCTCATACTCAGCGTTGTTCCTGACTACTTCATCACCGAGTATGATTATCGCGAAGTAAGGAGAAGTGATTTCTTTTTGACGCTCAATTTCTCAAAAATAATTGCGCTTGATTTCTTTAAAATTATACCATGTTATATCTCGTAATTTTTTGCTCAGGTCTCCGAATTCTTCAAGCAGCGCGACGTCCGCAGCGCTAATCGCACCCTGCAGCAGAGCTTAGAGATGATAAAGTTTAACATCCACTGGGTGAAAACAAATGCGAAAGGCGTGAGCGATTGGCTCACCCAATACTTCGCGGAAATAAATCTTGCAAGTTAACCTTCGCAAGTCGAGAATGACCCGAAATGCAACTGCATCCAACCGTGATATCATTATGGCTAATTTTTTTACAATACTTATTCGTACGCTCTTAAGAAACACAGCCTACAAAAAAAATGAGAATCCCGATTATTTCGGGAGCGAAAAGAATCTCAATCATCGTCATTCTTGTATAATAAATTTGCGGATCCAAAGTCACAACCATTTCCGTCAGTTTTATTAGAAATTAAGTCATTTCCGTCAGGCAAATCAATCGAATTTAAAAGATGACAACTCTTAAACGAGAATAAATCGTATTTCTTAAGAAAAAGACACTTAAATGTATCCTGTATACAATTCGTTATCATAGTTTACTTGCCGGAAAGGATCATCTAACTCGAGAGAAGCCGAATTATTTACGTGTAATACACGTGTTATACACCGATTTATATGCACTTTCGAAAGTATTTATTTAACATGCACGCAGCGCGTGCCGGTCGGATCACTAAATATAAAAAGACACAGCGAGAGAGCAAAGACATCATTGTTTCTAGGATAGTCGTTTCCTACTAATACAATTCATTGACGCAATATTGGCCCAATATATCCCCAATGTATGCCAATGTTTAACCAATGTATCGCCAATGAACTATGCTAGGGTTGATAATCGGCAGATAAGAGCTATAATAACAACATACGCCTATTGGCATTGAAAACTTTAGAGTCTCTCGAATTTACTACACTTTATTATAACAAAAAGGTGTTACGATAATCATTTCCACGCGATATCCAAGCCACATATTGAATCATCCAATATTATTTTAAGGAAGAGTCGAGCTTGCAGCAATATTGTCGGAGAAAACGCTAATTATACTATTCACGTACGTCCCATGCGTAAGTCTGCGTGCAAAACTGCAATGCTGCAGATATTTAGAGGTAATAGAATATCATAACTGTATGAGCGATCGTTCGTTTACATATTTAAGTAGCATATCAATGTATGGTAAAGAGAGGCATAATACTGCTAAATCTCTCAGGTCTATGCCACAAGCACCGTCCAGAGAGATAAGGCGGCGTTGAAGAAAAACTCGATCGCGAGAGCCAAGTGGATATATATGTCAAATTAATTAATTGTGAGGATATAAAGAAAAAACGATGTGTAAGTGTCGGTCCACAATAAGGACTTTAAGCCTTACGCCGTAAGACATTGACCAATTACAATCGATTATTCTCTTTATATTCGGCTACGATTGGTCTATTTCTTACTGCTTAAGGCTTAAAATCCTTATTGTGGATCAACACTAACGTGTATCGTGTATTCGCTAGAGGCTTGCTGGAGTCGCAGAAACACATGTCTCGCGTGGAGTTGTTCTTCATGCGAAGTAGCATAAATAGAGAATTGAATATTTTATTATGAAAAAAAATAAAAATATGTGTATAATCTAAACAACGCTTTATATATACATATGTATGGTGTGCATGTATTAATGTAAGACAATGTACCGTGTTTGATCGAATACTTTGAAGAATCTAAATGATGACGCAAATTGTCAGTGCTGAATTTATCAAAAATCTCTTAAACGTCACGGTTTTCGAGGGGTTGCGTTTATTTCTGAAAAATTTTTGACAATAGTAAATCTCAATTTAAAACAGAATAAATTTTGCAATGTGATCTCGATACCCCAAAGCTAATCCATATGCTTATCTGCTTATCGTTTTTTGATCGTACAATTAACTATTTGGACAATAAACACCAGAAAATAGTGAGATATATTTAAAATATAATTAATTATTATATTTTAATTGTTTTAATGTACATTAATTTTATGTTCTGTGATTAAGACTTAAGTACTTAGGCTGTTAAGCATAAAACCGATCGCACGGAACAAAGATATGAAGGTCTGCAAAGTGTCTAATAGTTTTACAGGGAAAGCAAAACCATTTGCGAAGCAATTTTCGCACCGATTATTTCTGATCAAAGATCAGAGGATATCGAACATATTGAATCATGTCCCCAATTTTACTCCTTGAATATTTCTCGTTGCTGCCGTAACTGGGTAGCTGATTATATCTGAAATTGACGTGTCCTTGTAAAGATACAGTTGTAAAGATAAAATTTAAGCACTCGTTTAAATGAAACACGTTATTACTCATCGTCACGCTCGAACACACGGGACACGGCGATTCTTCGATATTTTCTTGCCACGAATTTTTACTGCCATTTTGTGCTTACCAATGTCCACTGCAAAATGGCATTATTTCGATATTTAATACTTATTGTTAGCGCGATCTTTCTTATTGGATCAATCTACTTAACGGCGCATAATTCCTTGTGCTCGTCGCATTTTACATACGTGGTTCCATGAGCGAACTGAGGGCACGCACATATAAATACCTACACATACATACACGATTTCCCCGCACGTGGAAAAAAAGTCTGTAAATAAAAAATTGCAGCACTGAAATCATTTTTCATCGTTCCATTAAGTAGATTTTGATACACTCCAAACGGCGAATTAACGAATCGACGCACAATTAGATATCTTACGTGTAAATAGCGTATTTTTTCACAAACGGATGTTCTGTCTTATTGAAGCGTTAACGACATTCGCTTCAAAATTTTTAAGGGAGCGTCTGCCCGCCGACCTGTGCGAGATGCGAACCGATTGGCCTATTTTTCACATTTTAAATAATCGAAAGTAAGTGGGTAAGTGCGTACGTTATACGTACTTTCGTTACTTGCACGTTCACGAACTCGGAATTGCAGCTGTGAATTTCGATCTAATAACGATTGTCAAATATTCGACGTTTTACTTTCTATGATATGTATTTGTATCAGGATTATTATTTAGTATTTAGTCTTATTGTTAGATAAATAATTTATTAAGGCGGATAAGGTGATATTTATTTTTCGCTGAAAATAATTTTATAATATCAAATCCACTGTACACGAAATAACACGAAAATAATACTACTTATATCGAAAGACTGGATACCAAAGTAATCATGAGTAATCATATACTTATGTATTTTACGCAATCACGACACGATTACATCTTAAGAGAACGAGGCTGTCTTACATCTCATATTTATGTGAATTAACATAACAATATATATTATATACCGTTTTCAACTGTATTGTTGTCATAGATATTTTGTTGTATAAAAAAATATGAAACATGTACAAGCATAAATATACGAATAAATATATATATGTTTAAAGTACACCAAATATATATGTATTTTTTTAAATAACTTTAATTTTGTGAAGTTTGATCAATATATTATATATATTTTTATTTTGTTTCTTAATTATAGTTGTATGTAATATTATAATAATGATATAAAATAAATGTAAATTTGTATTGTAATATGTAACGATATAAAATAACGAGAACGTTAAAAAAATTTATTAAATTACCTATGCAAGATTACAGTCTAATTTGATAATATTATAAATTGCTAGAATATGAAAAAATAATTTGTATTTTTATTGTAAGAAAATCAGAAATAAGTTAAGCAGAATGATTAGAATTATTGTATCGTATTGTATGGTAATGTCTTTTTTTAGATGAAAATAAATATACGTACAGCCATCATATGTGGATGCATTATTTATAATGAATAATAACAAATTGGGACGAACTTGGATACACACTCAAATACACTCTAGAATGGTTTATATTTAAATGAAACGATCCTTAAACACACATCACAGAAAAAATCGTAAACCGACACAATGTGTATTACAAACTTTGTACAAACATAATGTAACATTTATGGTACATACGTGTTTATACAAAAAAAAAACATACAAACTTGGCAAACTTCGAAAGTCTCACGAAAGTTTCCTACAATCATTTCATAAACTTCAGACTCAACTTTGGCGGTAGTCACAATCAATGACATTGACCCCGCATTCAAAATACACGTCGTGTCAAAAATCTGCATGTCAAATAGACACCGCGATTACAAAACGACGTGGAAGACGGAAGCGATATCACAGTTATCTCGTATTTTCGTAGTATACATTCTCATACGATCGGGATCCTGGGCGGCATACGGTGAGAAGAACATCGCGGTCGGTGCGTGGCTGTGGTAAAGAAAGTGTCTGTGATATAAAAGTGTCAATCGCGGTGACGCACCGCGGCGTTTTCTTGCGTAGCAGGGTAAGTAACACGGTCTAGAGAAAACGATAACAAAACGATAGGGACAAATTTCGGCGTTGTTCTTCGAGGAAAGAATCAGGCCGAATATACCGCCCGCTGGAGAAGCTGTCGGCGCGCGCGACCATTGTCGCCTGGCAACGTTCCATCGTTGACGAAGGTCATGCGTCAGGTGAGAGCGAAGACAAACGCGTCGTCGTTTGGCATGCGAGAGCGCGTAGATCGTGTATATACGTGCACATACATGCTACATGTACGCAGAAAGCGTAAACGTAGTAAACGGTGCCACGCGCGCACTCGAATATGGCCAGCACGGGTCAAAGTTCGTCTGTGACGGACGAATACGAAATTGCGACGAGAACGGAAAAAACGGAGAGGTATACGATGACAACTGACGGTGAAATCGTCGTCGAGAATCGAAATCAAAGACACGTGGATTTCTATTGACGAACAATCCCGACTTCTCGTAAATTGTTATTAGCAAATTATTATTAGAAATCGAAGAGGTTTTCTTTCCATGGAGCAACTTCCGGGATCTGCTCCGGAAGCCGTTTCCTCGGTCGAGCACGAAGAGCGTCACGTGGAATCTCCCGTCAAAAATGAAGCAATCGCTACCAAGAGAATTCAACCTAATGACAGTGAGACGCGGAGAAAGTAAATTGTTTCGTCGATAGAAATTACATCGCGTGGCGTGTATTACGCACGTTTACGTACGGTCGTAATGGTGTTAGACGATTGGTCACGCGCGACTTTCAATCCGCACGAGATTAGATGTTTTTTTTTTTACGGGTGGGATTAACATCGTGCCCGCGAGATAATTGGACGATTCATTGTCAGTGTCAAATGTAAATACGAAGTACCGTTAATAATAGATAGGAAAGAAATAAAGAAAACTACTATATAGTTATTTTTATACAGAAGAGGATGACGCGAACGCTACTCGTATTTTACCACGTGCGCATATTTATAATACTCGCGCGCCGCAATTACAAACAGGCTTTGCATCACTTCGCTTTGTGACTGGTAATCAGGCCAGCGGACGGTCTTTCGTCAACGAGAATCGAACTACGCGCGTAGGTACGTATACGTGTAAAGACGGCGCACGTGCAGTCTATTCATTGGAGCTAGCTCGGCGTTCCACATCGCAATACGCATCGCGCACACACGGCAGATACGTGTATTTTAATAGCATCGCAACATAGAGCCCGCATGATTCACGAATCGTATAACGTTAATTCCGCATCATGAAATATCGGGAACACATTTCTCGACGAGCTCCAAAATTATTTTATCTTCAAAAATAATTTTGAAGAGGTATATCTCCTTTCGAAGACATTTTGAGATTCAATCAGACACTTTGTTAAAAATAAGCTTCGTTGAATTTCAATTCGGGAATTATAATATATTACTGCAGATATTTATTTCTGTCCCCAGTGATAAATAATCGCGCGGCTACAGCCCTATTTGAATTTCTGATGAAGGCAAAGAAACTGTAAATTTCTTAAAAAATATCTACTTTTCGACAAGCATTTATTTGTCATTTCTAACGCAGACTTCGTAAGACGTGCCACGAAAATGTTACGCAATTACGCATATCATCATAATTACATTTTTTTTTTCCATTGCGAATAAATATATTCGAAAATGCGGAAAGTCAGTATGTTATATAAACGACGCATACTTACATCGCGACGCATTCAATAATCATTATCCGGTAGTGGGACTCGCTATCAACACCATGATTTTGCATCTTTACGCGACTCTTACTTGCATCGGATTGCAAACAGATGATCGAAGTTTCAAGCTATACGCTAGTCGAAAAAGATTAAAAAAAAAACGCTAAATCGCGTGCGTAAGACGTAAACAAGCGCGCGTTGACGCATGTGACGTGCGACGCGCCGAAGAAGATAGATCCTGATTCTTTTCGACCATATCGATTTCTATCTCTTTTTTTTTTCACGTTTCAACTCGCGCGTATCGTGGATACGCGCGGCTCGTAGAAATCGTTATCGCGGCGATAACGGAATCGAAAGCGGCGCGATTTGTTGCCGCTCGTGATGTTATATGTATATGTACGTTATACGTACCTACTGCACGCGCAAAGCAGCGATAATCGCCGGACGTGCGCGCGATCAGGAAACGCGCGGGGAAATCAGCGGCGTCGGCGCGGCCCTGACGAGCGCGCGACGTCGCGTCGCGGCCGGAGCGCGATTGCTGAGTCACATTTCGCGAACGATCTCTCCCGGCGAGGTGTGCGACGGACGTTCCGCTCGCTCGCACGCTCGGTCGGACGTGTGGTTTCTCCGCGTGTCGAGAGGCTAAAGTGTCGTGCGCGGCAAAAAGTGTCGTCTCATCGGCGTACGAGGCTCGTACGTCGCGTCGTACGCAAAGGAGCGAGCGTAACGCGGCATAACGCTTCGCGGATAACGCGCGCGCGCGCGCGCGAACCGTCGCTCCGAGGTTCGAATCGTCCGCTCGAATCATCGTGTCTTTGACGCGCGCGCCCTAGTGTGCGTCACGTGCATACATACGTGTACGTAAGTGTAGTGCGGCATCTGTCACAGTGTCAGTCTGTCAGAGTCCTCGCCGCCTCCGTCCGCCTCGCGCGATCACAGCTGATCCGCGCGTGAAGCTGTCGCTCGACGAGGCGTCTCGCTCGCATCGCATCCCGCGCTGCTGTCATCATCTCGCGACTCCGATAGTGCCCGAGAGTACCGTCGGCGATAAGGAGGCGCGGAGCGGAGGCGCCGCCTAGAAGCGCCGCCGTCCTGCCGGAGGAGTGTCCGTGAGGCATGCGTGCGCGACGTGCGCGCGGCTAGAGCACTGCAGGCTGATCGGTGGCTCGTGCGCGGTTTTTGAGGTTATTTCGGTCCTCGTGTAACTGACCTACACCCGGCTCGCTGGGAAAACCGCGCATCCTTTACTTCCACTCCGGCACCACGAGCGATCGGTCGCTCTCCCCCCCGTGGGAGCTCCTCCGTACATTTTTCGCGAGAAATTTAAAACCCCAGCGTCCTGGCCGCCGCTGAGCCGAGCTGAGCTGCGTACTCTAACCTTAAAAACTGGAACACGCGACTCGTTCGTGATGCGTGATCTCGTCGCGTGAACAGTGTCCGGTTCGCTATTCCCCGAGGGAACCCTCTGTTTACACGGGACTGTCCTTACGTTGCCCGCGCGTGATGTCAATGAATATTTTGCAGAATTGCGTCATTTCCTCATGACGCCGAGTTCGTTGTTTGTACTTAAGAGGGATAGTTAGCCAGAGAGAGAGAGCGAGAGTGCGTGTGTGTGACGACGTGTCAAGATCTATAGGAACTGTTCTTCTTTGTGCGAAATTCAATTCGGGCGGAGCGGCAAGATGTTGTGCATAAAGAAGCTGTATCGGGAGGAGCTGCTGCAGCTCGCGTTGCTGCTCTCCTTGCTGCGAGTGGATCCGGACTCCTACCTGGGCCTGGACATCCAGACCCTCAACGTGGGATCCTTGGATCTAAACAACGGATCCGGATGGCACACGGATCACACGATTATCCATCGTCCGATGTACATCCACCCGAAGAATCCGGACTCCATGCTGCTGAACTATCAAAGGGACCTGTTCGAGGAACTCAACTCATTGGGGAGATACAACAGAATGAATTCTGGTCTCAATGCCATACACGCCTATCTGCTGAACGTCGAGGAGTCCAGTAGAAATGCGACGGTGGCCGGTTCCAGCGTGCCGGTTTCTGCAAACACAACCAGGGATATGACATCTCCTGATCCACCGACTTCCACCCAGAGCCCTGCAGAACCAGTTGGCGCAGCGGAGCTCACTCAAGAGGTACATCTTTCAGTTGATTTTGCTAGCAGAGAGTGATGATGTATGGAATAGAGTGAGGATTAATATGTGTCACAGTATATCTTTGATACACAGATATATCTTTGCGTTATTAAAATTATTATTTATGATGCTTCGATTATCATACATTTTTAGATCATTTCTTTTATATTATACAAACTAAATGCTAGTCCTTTGCTCTTATTCTATATTACAGACAGTCATGGTTATAAT